CTATTGTAATTAATATAGGGCTTTGGTCTAGGACAATACACTGTTGGATAGAATTTGTCAAGGCCATACCCCAACGACACTCCTAACATTTTCATCTAAAAAGAGTAATGGAACTTTGTTGGCTTATCATGCTTTGACAATCAATGGTCAGAAAATATGTTTTAAGACCATGTTGTATGTTTTACAACCATGTACCATTCTTTCAGAAATTGGGCTTTTGCCTTTTGTAAGCAAAGTATTGGAGCTACTGAAGGGATACATGTTTTAATTGCACTGGATATTATATTTAGAGAATTTGTAATATACTGGATATTATATTTAGAGAATTTTTAATATACATTTTTGGAAATATATTTCTTTCTGTATTCACAAGTGTACGTTGGGTGTTTAATCAATGGAGATTCCTCTTGCAGCAAGGGGAAAATAAACAAGTGCTTGGTGTTTACTTGGTATTGCCATTATTATGTTGTTCTCCAATTCTTTCTTCTCAAGATTGTACTTTTCTTTTTTTCTGCGAGGGGTGAGTGGTGACTGATGAGCAAGTTATACAAATGAGCTGCATGCTTTGTGGGCTAAGGAGAGGAGGATGATGCATGAATATTAGTATTTATGTTATTTAAACATTAACTTTTGTCTTTTGTTATTCTGGAAAATTGTTTATGTATTGTGCATGAAAATTTGTTTTTGGGTAATGGGCATTTATGGTCTTTTAATTGGAGGATGTAACCTTACTATTTAGTATCTAATTTGGTATGGTACGGTAATACCAAAAATATTCAGTATACTGATTCTTTGGTACGGTAAGGTATGAGTCTTTTGTCAAATCGATATTTCGGTATACCAGAACACGGTATATCAAAGGTTTCGGTTCGGTAATGGTATAAAGTTTTGTCATACCATAAGTTCAGTAGCGTATATAGCACTGCTTATTTCCTGAATATTACTAAATTAAGGTTGATTTCGAGAAATAAGACCGTTTTATAGATGGGAAAAAATGTGCTACAGTTGCTACAGTGATGTGCTACAGTTGCTACAGTGATGTGCTACATATGGAAAAATATTACTAAAAAATGTGACCGTTTTTATAGAAGGTCACATATTTGGAAAAACTATAACGACGGGCTACAGTTGCTAGAGTGATGTGCTACAGTGACGTGCACCACCACCTCCAACCAGTAATCGTCGTCCGTCGAAGACCGCTGCCGCCCATAGTGACGTTGACATAGTGACGCCGCCACAGTGACTGCTGGAAAATTTTCTGGCACCTTTTTTCCATTGTCCCACTACACAGCCCAACCGCCATTAACGTTGTCCACCACCGCTCCCTGCCACATAACCACCTCACAGATCCAGCAACATCGTCCCCAACTTCTCCTTGACCCCTATCCCAAAGCACCACCTCCCCAGCCCCATCTCCGGCCACCCATGCGTCCACCACCTCCGACCACCAAACCCCAGCCTCCTCCCCTGCGTCATCCCAGCCCCACAGTAGCCCCATACCCTCACAACAGTCCCCAACCACCGACCAACCCCTCCACCACTCGCACAGACCTCTCAACCCCCATCAACCCTGCTACCACTACCCCACTGCCATGGAACCTTCATCACAACCCCACCAGCAATGTGCAACTCCAAATCAGAGTCACCATTCACCGAGATGGTAGATCCGACACCGGCAGCCCCATATCACAGTCGTCGTCCATCACACATGGCAGATCCAGGATCGGCGGAGGGCAGTTGCAACAGTTGAGAAGAAATGAGAAGAAGAAAAGAGCGGCGGAGGGGGGAAGGCAGCAGCTAGAGAGCGGCAGAGGCGGCGGCGAAGAGAATACGCCTGGCGGATGAGGTCGTGAGGATCTGTTGGAGGCTTGAATGGAGGTGGGGAGAGAATCGGCGCATCTTGGTAGAGGAAAAGGCTTGGGCGATGGGGGAGAGAAAAAGGCTTGGGAGAGGAGGCTTGTGATGGATATTGTTGCAGATGCGTGGATCTCGATGGGGGAGAGAGAGGGGTTAGGTCACATTTTTGTAAAGTTTGAAATTGGTCATATTTTTGTCTATTAAAACCTTATAAGTTATATTTGTGTCATTCTTTCTATATGGTATATGGTGAAATTTTTGGTATACCTTACCGATCCAGCCCTAATTATAAGTGTAATTTTGAACCCATTAAGACAACTCTACACAGTAATATTAGGGTAGAAAGACATATTTGCATTAGAAATGAATCGTCCTTAACCGTTTATGGTTTCGAATTAGAATTCTTGTTATTTTTCATAAGTAGTACTATAAAATGGTCAGTATTTTGGTTCCGGACTAACATCATGTACAACGATACACGTTGTGTCAATTTTTTTTTGGTACTTGTTTGAAATATAATACTACTATATATGTCGAACTTTTATCATATTTTACTACAAAAAGTTATTGGGTCTAACACTACTTTATCATGATTTACACATTTTTGTCAAGATTCTATGATAATTTTTGTTGCAAACTACTTTTGCACAATTTTGGATCAAGTTTGATAAGGATTTGCAAATTCGCGCACAATCCTTGACAAAACTAATTGCAATTAGTTAGAAAAACAATGAATGTACGTATACTGTGTGTACAAATTTTTACTCAAAATAAGAAATTTCAATGCATAAAAGTTATCCCCCATATAAGGAGTTTTGTCATATCTTTGATCTCTAACTTTAGACAAACAAAATATATACTTCTTGCGTCCCAATTTGTTTTGCAAAGTCAACATTTTTTGGTCAACCAATATTAAAAGTCAATGTTCCCTATTGATAATTTATTCAATTTTTAATAATTAAAATCTACATATTCAGAAACTACATTAAAATCTCGTCAAAGTTGCAAACTCCAAATTAGAATACTATTAAGAATTGACATCGTAATTAAGCGAATAAAATGAATCTGTTTGACCAAGAAAAGTCAAATTTGCAAATCAATTTGGGACGGAGGTAGTACTTCACAAAAAGATTATCAATGTCATTTTTCAAAGAGAGTGTAGAGACCTTATGGCTCCGCTGTGGAGACCGGAAAAAGGTATGGCTATCATGTTGTGGACATGAAACATGTTTTATAGGGCGGCCCGTGGTTGTTTGAAAGAAATATGTTGATTCTAAAAGAGGTAAAACCTGATGATATTCCGCTCAAAATTAGGCTCAATGAGAAGGAATTTTGGGTACAAGTTCATAATGTTCCTTATAGTTTCATGAATTTAGGTACCACTAGAAGAATTGGTAATTTTATTAGCTATGCTGAGAACCAATTTGACAAAAAATGGGAAGCTCACTTGTGTGTTAGGGTCTGGAAACCCCTTAAGAAGGAACATCCCTTAAGAAAGAAGGTATTGACCACCGGGTAGATTTTAAATATGAAAAGCTGCCCAATTTTTGTTTCACCTGTGGAATTATTGGTCATTCAGATAAATTTTGCCTATTGACATATGAAGATAACCTAGTATTGGAAAAAACTTATGGGGTAAATCTAAGAGCTGGTGGAGGGGGGAAGACTAATCCTATAGGAGGGAACAAGTGGCTTGTGGAAGGGTGTTCTAGCTCAGGTGTGGGTTTTTCACACGAGGATTCCAAGACGTTAGGTGGAACAGGAGGGCAAGGTTGGAGGGAGTCCACGACGGGTACGAGCGATATCACAACTAAAGATGGGGAGTTTGGAAGCACTGAGGAAATGTCAGGGGAACAAAAGCGCAGAAGGATCTGAGAAGTATAGGAACAAGAAAAATCAGTCAGTGATAACATGGATTTGGACAAGACAAAAAAACGAGAAGAAGGTGGGCTCCGACTTTTAAACCCGCCGAAGCATCAAGAGCAGCTTGTATGCTTGGGTAAGCGGAAGTGGTGGTGCTCTGGAAGATGGACCAAGATTTTTACCTTTTTGATGTGTTGTTTATTCATGTTCTCGAGTACTCGGTTTACTTTGAGTTTTGTTTTTTTTGTTGTGCTGTAAAACTGTGAGTTTGGATTTGGGTGACAGGAGGTATGCTTTAACCGTCTTTGGCTCATTTGCGCCCAGTCATGAATCAACGAGTTATATTGCTTCTCTGGAGGTGATTAACTCTAAGTCTAGTTCGAGGGTTGGTGGTTGGCGACGGTCTTTTTGTCTTTTTAACGCATATCTGGATGTTGTGATATCAATATAAGTCCATTTCTATATAAAAAAAGTGTAGAGCCAACGTCAATGACAAGTCTAACTACAAAAAATCATTCCATCCCAAGTTCATGATTGTTTACATTTCCAATTACCATTACAATATGCTCTTTGATAGAATTATCACCTTATATAACTTTTTTTTTTGTCTTATAAGAGGGGCACAAGTTTTATAATTAAGTACTAATACTATATTTCAAGGTCGGAAGTGGGGACATTTGCCCCCTAGGACCCCCAAGTCCTACATAGGCTACAACTTAGTTAAATCATGAACGACATGATTTACAAATCTTTTACAAAAAAGGACATGAAAAATGTTACAGAGTATGTCTTTGAAAAATATTACCTTATGTATGAGTTAATATTTATATTTATCTAATGATTTTGTTTCAAAAATTTACTAAAATAAAACTTTTTTACGTGAATATAATTAATAGTTACTACAATGTAGTGTCATGATAACTTAAGTTTAAAAATTGAATATGTTATTATGATTTCATTTACAATTCTAGTCACTAGTCACACTTTTGTAAACATTTTTTATTTTATTCATACATATGTAAATATTTCTTATCTATCACCAATTTAAGATGATCTTATAATTCTAACAACTTTGTCCGCTATCCAAACTTGATGAGATACGATAATATTTGAACAATCATAAAATATACGCCAAACTTTTACGAGATAGGACCGGTGCGACCAAAATATCCTCAATTGTAATTCCCATTTTTTACCATCTTAATTTGTAAACAAAATATGACTACCAATATAGGACTCGAACGATTATTTAACATTTAATGATTGTGATTTTATGCTAGTTTGGAAATTGGAGAGCCTTCCAAGGTGTGCCACGTTGGAGTTTGAACTGATCCTCCTCCCTGATCGCCACGAAGCCCGAAAGGCGGTTATCTCAACGGCCGGCCAACACGTACTCGCTTCCTTCCCGACACGTGTTTCTGCACCGCAGAAACCTCTTCTCCTCTTTCTACTTCTTCCAGCACACATCACTAACAATCTCTCATCTTCACCGGCATTGCTCTGCAATTTTTTTCTGGAGGTAAAGTTCAGAATGACTAGCACAAATTTGGAAACACGTTCGTTGCTGGATGAAATCCGCGGTTTCGATAATGGCGCCCTGTTTGACCTGGGCCATCCTCTCCTTAACCGTGTTGCTGAAAGCTTCGTCAAAGCAGCTGGGGTAATCCATCGCTATTACTTTTCTGTTTCATCCATAACAACCATTCCAGACTGATTAGATCGGAGACTAAGCTATTTGTATTATGACTTGCTAATTGATTGTTGCGGCATCTTAGATTGGTGGGGTTCAAGCTGTAGCTCGAGAGGCTTACTTCACAGCCGTTGATGGTGAGGCCCCGAGCGCTACACTTTCTCCATATTTGTCTATAGTTTCCCTTTTATTTACTATTGGAAAATGGTAATTAATTCCAGCAAGTGCTATTGGTGATATTTGGTCGTTTTTACTTTAATTTGATGCATATAGAGAGAGCATTGAACTAAATGTGTATGAATCAGGTGCAAGTCAAGATACATCCGCTATCCCTCCAGAGATTGGGGGTGCCAAGAAGCATCATTCGTTTCCAAGCCTTAGAGGTAACTCTTGAAACAGTCTCCACTCTCCATTATATTGTTTATCTAGTACTGTATTGCTCCCTTTTAGCTATATCATGTCCAATGACTCTTGGATTAGCAATTCGTTTGTCAGCACAAGTAAATGAAATCGTCTGCAACAACGCTGTACTCGATGATGCTTATTATCTAGGATATAATACGGAATTTAAACTATAAAATGGGAAATAGAGAGACGACTCTTGGCAGGCTAGCTGCACACAATGTGCTATAATAAGACAATAAACTAGAATTGTAGAGGTCTATATATACTGCCAGATTTCACCCTAATACACTTTTTTTGTTGTGGTGTAGGGGATAGCAACAAAAACTCATTTGAGGCCTTGGTAAGATGTTCCCCTCTTATAGAGTCGTTGCTTATGATTTGCTAATCTTTCATCTTTCTCCCCCCCTGTGACTGTATATATGTATTGGTTCAGTAACTGAAAAATGTGAGTTGTTAGTTATTTATATGTATAAAGAGCTCAACATGCAGACGATATGGTTACTATTCACTACATTGTTTCTGGGATGGAGAACTTCATTGATGTTCTTGTTTTTGCTATGCTTGCAGATAAGAAGCACAGGGAAAGAATCTATCCAATGGGGTAAGAGTGTAAGACTAAATGGTTGAAATCCCTCGCAATTTGTACTTTGTCATGTGATATAGCTTACATAGTGGCACATAACCTCCATCCATACTACTCCCTCCGTTCCCTCCGTCCCGCCCATTTTAAGGTTCTTGTCCACTATTCTCCGGTTAACGTGCATTGTTCTTAATCTTTTACTTTATATATCCAACTTTTATCGAATTTAAATTTTTTTGATCAGGCTTTGTAGCGGTTTTAATGTAGTTTCTGAATATGCAAATTTTATTTACTAAACATAATTTTAAATGGGACATATTTAGGGATGAAGTATGGGATGTGGCTCATTGTTTTGGGTGCATGGTTGAGTTAGAGAGATTATCTAGTGGGATCATTGATCAGAATATAAATTCAATATAAATTCAGATTGTTTAAAGATTAATTTTGAAACTACAGGTATAAGCTAGGGGGAGATGATCAAATTATTTATAGATGATTGATTGCTGAGGGTCATATAGAGGATGGTACCTCATTAATTTTATTTTTGAGATTATTCAAAAAATGTATGTGAAAAGTATGAACCACATTATTGATTATTTATTTTTGAGATTATTCAAAACATGTGTCAATAATTTAAAAGTATGAACCACAAAAAATTGATTATGTGAAAAGTATGAATGAGGACGGTACCTCATTCCCAATGTTATTCTTTAAAATTAGGGAGAACTACCAAATAAATCCTCAAACTTTCATAAAAAGTGCAAATAAGCCATTTTATAGGAGGCTCTTTTCGGCCGTCGCCATTTGGGGCGGGTTCCGGTGGAATTTTTTGATGAAATTTTTTGATGAAATTTTTTAAGCATATTCTTCGTTAAGTCTAATTTACTCATACCAAATTTCATCTAAAAATTCAATTGGGAAGGCAGTCAAATAAAATTTTTAAGATAACTGCGCAGTTTAGTATATTTCAGAAAATCATTTGACTGCCTTTTTGATTGAATTTTTAGCTGAAATCTATTATGGGTAAACTAGACTTAATGAAGAACATGCTAAAAAAATTTCATAAAAAACTTCAACAGAAACCGCCCAAATGGCGACAGCCGGACAAAGCCTCCTGTAAAAGGGCTTATTTGCACTTTTTATGAAAGTTCGAGGGCTTATTTTATAGTTCTCCCTTGAAATTAACCAACACCAAGAAGTTTTGGTCTCTTGGAAATGGCGTGGTAGTGGTGCTAATTCTGTTTTGGTAAAATTTTCTCATGTTTACCAACTACCAAGTAAATAAGTAACGGTAACATAGTGAGGGTAAGCTTTTCATCACATGAACCTGCTCATTTCTGGTCCTGTCATTATCCTTTTTTATATCGGGAAATTTCCCTGGGGTAATTACACATATTTTTTTACAATGAAGGTTGCATCAGAAAATATACAACATTTTAAAGAAGTTTTCTGAAAGTGGGGATGGGGGAGGGGGTTCTCCAATGGAGAAATTGTGGATGCTAAGGGATACTATCGTGCTTGACCATGATCACACAATACGCATTCCGCTTGTGCCAGGTTTTGCTGCAGGAATGTATTCTGGTATTACCTATGGGCTAAGGGAGGTTCGAGGAACACATGATTGGGTATGTGTCACTCTTTCACTATTTATGCAAATCGCTTTGCTTGTTCACGACAATCCATTATAATAGTGGTTTGGTTATCAGAGAAACAGCGCTGTGGCTGGAGCCATAACCGGAGCAGCACTGGCTCTCACAGCAAAGGACCATTCTCACGAGCAGGTGATCCAGTGTGCTATTACAGGAGCAGCCATCTCCACTGCAGCAAATGTCCTTAGAGGCATATTTTGAAGGCCACTTTGGTTTATATGTGTGTTTCTGCTTGTTTTGGCATATTTGTAGCTGCCAAGGAAAACTTGTGTTTAGATTCTGAACTACTTTCAATTTGGACATTGCAAAAACTGCAGTTATAAGTTGTTATGACCTGTTGTTGCCACCATGCTTCTGTGTTTATTTGTGCTGCTAGAAAGCATGGCTTTTGTGTTCTTTTGTTTGTGCACAAGAGCATAGCTGATCCATCGTAAAGAAGTATTAACTCCCATTTCGATTTGTGTGAAGATCTCAGTGCACAGGTGATGATTTGGTAAAATTAATCTAGAGTAGAGTTAATTTGTAGGAAAAGTTTCAGTACACGAGTTATTAGATACGTAGGATTAGGGTTGGACTCGGGTTGGGCCACCCGGCCCGTGGACTGGCCCGGCCCGCTACTGTGCGGGACCGGCCCAGTTCCCGGGTCCGGGTCGGGCCTAGGCCCGGTGGGTAGTGCGGGTCCGGGCTCGGGTCTCACTTTCGGCGAACCGGCCCGGCTGGGTCGGGCCCGGTTCCGGGCCAAATTGATTTTTTTTCTTCATTTTTTGGGGTTCCAACCGGGTTGGGGTTGATGGTTAGGAGGGGTTTGGGAGGTGGGGGGGGGGGGTTAGGAAAGCAAAAAAAAAACCAAACCGGAGGCCCGGCCCGGATTGGAGCCGGTGGCTACCCGGGCCGGTCCCGGGTCCATCATTCCTGAACCGCCGGCCCGCCCGGGTTTAGGTCTGACCCGGACCCGGCCCGGACCCGAGTCCACCCCTACGTAGGATTTTTTGTAATTTGACGAGTCATCCTAGATTATGAACACGCTAGGGTATTTTTTAAGGAAAATTCCCTTTGTACAAGCCAAATTTTACTCGTCGGGTTACATGCCGGTCAAATTGTATGTGATTGTTTGATCGGCGTTTTATGAAGAAAACCGATTTTGAAACGAACAAACTAAAAAAAAAATTTGTATCAGTGTCATTTTTAAATTCTCGTTTAAAATTGTCTGTATCACCGGCAGATAATTCTTTTTTTTTGTATATGTGAAAATCAATTTTCTTCGTCAAATTGTTTGTATAGCCCGTCAAATTGCTTGTGCATAGACAAATTGAGCGGCGTCTAACATGAAAATATATAAAAGCACTTCGTGGAATATGTTTATTTTAAAGTAATGCCTTATGTAAATAATGAATAATTATACGTCCTCCATCCCATTGAAAGTTAAGACTTTTCTTTTTTAGGTGTTCCATTTAAAGCTTTTCAAATTTACTCTCTTTAATTACATTTTTACTCAAATTTCTCTTTCATACTCATTACACGTCAAGTTTCGCAATTTGTCCTCTCCAACTTATCTCTCTTTAATTACTTTCACTCTATAATTTACTTTTTCTAAATTTTCTCTTTCTTCTCTTTTTTACTCTGATTACTATATTTAATATCGTGTCATTTATCCACGAGAACCTTCCAACGAGAGAAATGTGTATTATATACTATAGAAATTAGTTCAAATAGGACTAAAACTATGGCAAAAACCTAAAATAGGACTTGCTATGTTTTTATTCCAAAATAGGACCATATGAGTCCTATTAGAAACATACCTATTTTTGCATTCCATTCTTACCCTTCCATTAAATATGAATTAAAAATAGTCAAAAGCCATAATTAAATGTTTAATTCATAATAAATTCGAAAAAAATTCAAAAATTCGTAGAAATATAATTAAAAAATTTATAAAATTTTTATAAAATAAAAAATTCAATATTTTTTTAAATAATTTTATTTTTAAAAAATTAATAAAAAATAGTAAAACTCCGTAAAAAAAATTAAACAAATATGGATGCCTTTCCCACCGCCTGTACTACCTCCCAGCACCACCACCTCCGGCCGATGAAAAAAATGCCATTTTCCCAGAAAAATGCCATTTTTTTTTCTGAAAATGCCAAAAAAGTGGCATATTTCTCTTTTCGAATGCCAACATTTTCATTTTTTTCTGCCATAAATAAGGCATTCGTAATGAACTTGGCATTTTTTCCCCTGGTGACTGGAGGTGGTGGTGCTGAGGCGGCAGAGGCGGCGGCGATTTTTTTTTTTTGAGTTTTTATTTTTTTTCATTTTTTTAAATAATTTTATTTTTAAAAAATTAATAAAAAATAGTAAAACTCCGTAAAAAAAATTAAACAAATATGGATGCCTTTCCCACCGCCTTTACTACCTCCCAGCACCACCACCTCCGGCCGATGAAAAAAATGCCATTTTCCCAGAAAAATGCCATTTTTTTTTCTGAAAATGCCAAAAAAGTGGCATATTTCTCTTTTCGAATGCCAACATTTTCATTTTTTTCTGCCATAAATATGGCATTCGTAATGAACTTGGCATTTTTTCCCCTGGTGACTGGAGGTGGTGGTGCTGAGGCGGCAGAGGCGGCGGCGATTTTTTTTTTGAGTTTTTATTTTTTTTCATTTTTTTTATTTTTTAAATTTTTTGAAAAAAAAAATTAATTAAATTTTTAATATCGAAATGTTTTTCTTAATTTTTAGTATTTTTTACGAATTTTTATTATTTTTTATTATTTTATTAGGAATTAAAACATTTTAATAGCTATAAGGGTATAATTGTCCAAGGTACACATAATTAGTCCTATGCAAACATAGTTTATTTTTGGTCCTATATTGTGAAAAGTGAATGACTTTTAGTCCTATTTTGACAATTAACTCTATATACTATCTCCGTCCCGCAAAGAAGTACCCGCTTTTCCTTTTTAGCAATACCAAAAAGTTCCCCTTTTATTAAATGGGAAGTTATCTACATCAAAACAGTGCCAAACAGTGCAAAACAGTGCCAAACAGTGTCGAAACAATGTCAAAACAGTAAAATTTACCCTCTGATAACTTTATTTCCTTAATATGTGTGTAGGTCAAACCGTGATCTTCTTTGCGGGGCGGAGGGAGTATTATATATCTAAATTGAAATTGTAAACTAATGTCAGAGTAAAATGGTGTTTAATGATTTACGCTTTTATATTCTTATCACGAATTGATCTGAAAGTGCTTCATCCGTGCTACTTTAGATTAGTAAAGCATACTTGTTTTTAGAAGTTCTTAAAGTGCTTCATCCATGCTACTTTAGATTAGTAAAGCATACTTTAATTTTTAGAAGTTGTCCTAAATAGGAGTAAAAACGTTTTGAAATTTCAAAATAATAGTATCATGTTTTTTATTTCTTGAATAGGAGTAATCTGCCAAGTTTAGCAAAAAATGTCATGTTTAAAAGCCTAGTAATGCCAAACTTGGCAGAAATTTACTCATATTTAGGAAATAAGAAACATGTTAGTAATATTTTGAAATTTCAAAACTTTTTTAATCTTATTTAGGGAATTTACTCTTTATTTTTCTAATAAATAATGATATCGAAAAAAGGGATTTTAATGCTCTAAAGTCTAAACCCCTGTGAGGCTGTGATACACAAATAAAACAAATGTACGTGAAAATAAATTTAATCGTCCAATAAAAATATAAACATGTAAATAAATTTAGCTGTCAAATAAAGTAGGGAAAACTATCAAATAAGCCCTCGAACTTTCATAAAAAATTCAAATAAGTCCTTTTACAGGATGCTTTGTCCGGCTGTAGCCATTTGGGTGGTTTCCGGCGGAATTTTTTGACGAATTATTTTGAGAATCTTCTTCATTAAGTCTAGTTTATTCATACCAAATTTTAGCTAAAATTTCAATCCAGAAGGCAGTCAAATGATTTTCTGAAATATACTGCACTGCCTAACTGCACACAGTTATTTTCAAAAATTCATTTGACTGCCTTCACGATTGCATGTTTAGCTGAAATTTGGTATGAGTAAACTAGACTTAATGAAGAAAATGCTCAAAAAAAATCATCAAAAAATTCCACCGGAAACCGCCCCAAATGGCGACGGATAGACAGAACCTCCTATAAAAGGGCTTATATGCATTTTTTATGAAAGTTCGAGGGCTTAGTATAGACTGTAATGTATACTCTTTGGACCCTTCCCACCCGAAGAGAATATATATATATATATATATATATATATATCTATATGTATATACATATATATATATATGTATATGTGTATATATATATGTATATATATATATGTATATATATATGTATGTATATATATATATATGTATATATATATGTATATATATATATGTATATATATGTGTATATATATGTATGTATATATATATATATATATATATATATATATATATATATATATATATATATATATATATATATATATATATATATATATATATATATATATATATATATATATATATATATATATATATATATATATATATATTGGGTGCGGTTCCGATAAAAACCATCCTTATCGTGCAAACTGCAAATCATCACTTTTGGCTCAATTTGATTCACTTTAAAGTTCGTGTCTTGCACTTTTTGAACTTTGGTCGAATCATGTCAAATAGCAAAAAACGGTGGCACTTCTGTAAATAAGTCAAAGTTGTATGCCATTGTGAAAAAGTGCAATATAGAAATCTAATAGTGCATCACAATTGGGGAAAGTGACCGGTTTTTAGTTTTCACGGGAAGAAATGTTTTTATTTGATCCGGAATCTTTGTGTGTGTGTTTGTTTGTGTATATATATATATATATATATATATACATATACTCCCTCTGGTCCTTAATGAAGTTTATATTTTGATTTCACACATATTAAGGAAATAAATTTGACTTTGCTGTAGAGTACACTGTTTGGCACTGTTTGACATTGTTTGGTGTAGATTTGTTTGTCAAATAAGGCAAATAAGGTGTAAAGTTTAATATGGGACGACCCAAAAAGGAAAGTATAAAGTTAATTAAGGACCGGAGGGAGTATATATGTGTGTATATATATATATATATATATATATACAGGGTTGGGTTATAACAAGAAGACATCTTAACATGAGAAGTGAGAAACTTCACATTTGCCTCTTTCTGTTGCACTTTTGCGCTAATCTGATTCAATTTTTGCGATAGCAGAAAAGTTCTGATTAATTACGCAAATGCCACCGCGTCTTGCATCACTTTTTTAATTAATCGGAACTTTTCTACGATCGCAAAAAGTGCATCATATTAGCGAAAAGTGCATCAAAAAGAGCCAAATGTGACACTTCTTACTTCTCACGTTAAGATGTCTTCTCATTCGATCCTTATTATATATATATATATATATATATAAATAAGGAAGAGATCAAATAAAAAGAGATTCTCCCGTGCAAAGTGCGAACAATTGCACTTTTTCATCACCGCGTTGTACTTTTACGTATTTTTGTTTTACTTTTTTGCGGTATCAAAAAATTTCGTTTTAATTATGAAATTGACACCGCATTTTTGATCAAGTTTAGTTCACTTTTGACTCATTTTGAACATCTAGAAATGAATAAATGAGATTAGTTCTCTGTGTTTTCATAGCGTAGACTTCTTTGTAAATGCCCGTTTGATTTGATTATCCGATTACTGTTGCATTTCGCCACCTAGAGCTCCCGTAGCATAACAAGCTAGGGTTTCGGACGACAGAGACAGAGACCCGCGAAATTCAATCCTTCCAGCTGAAACCAAAGACCCGCGAAAATGAGTAGTATGATGTTTTGTCGAAACTGGTTAGTTTCTGGAATTACTTCATTCTATCATCTTCAGTTGTAAGCATTCAGAGTATTCACTTGATTATGTTGGAACAGCAACAACATTCTGTACCCTAAGGAAGACAAAGATCTGAAGACCCTTCTGTATGGGTGTCGAAACTGCGATCACCAGGTACTACTGCTTAGAAGAATCATTTATGTCAGTGTTGTTAATGGCGATCACTTATGATAGGGTTTTATGTTGCGGACTTGTGGTTTCACGTGCTCTTATATGTTTGCTGAAAACTGTTAATTGGAAATTCAGTGTCCATTTCGGATTCCTATAGGCATCTGTTTCTAATTGGTGTTCGTTTAGTTTTAAACACTATCTCAAAAGTGTTTGTGTGGCATCAAATACTTCGTTGTTAGGTTGAATTTTTGTCCCTTCCATACTTCTCTATTACCACCATTGATATCAGGATACCCAATTGACAACTTGTATAGTAGATGGGGATTGGGGTGAGGCGGCGAGCGTAGGTCTACATCTCACAAGTAATGGTTAATTTACTCTCTTTGATCAATAGCTCGCTTTACTGAGCAAAATTTCTTCTCGTATAACCTTCACTTTAAAATACCAAGAGAGCATTAATTGCTCATTTAGTCATTTTCCACCATTGCCTTCAGCCCCTTCTTCATCCTGAAAATCCTGAAATGTTACATGGTGAATAATTCATCCATCCCTGACAAGAGGCCAAGAGGGTTTGTTTCATGCATCCTACTTATATAGTTATATTTTCAAATTGTTTGTTCATAATTCTAAATGCAGCATCTGAACTTGTGTGGAATTCAAAATGCAGCATCTGTTTGTTCTAAATGCATCCTTTTTTTAAGTTTGCCTTAAGTTCAATAAAATTGGCTTCTTTTTTGGAGTATGTATACCTTGACATAAAACTCTACCCCTTCCATAGGGATGTCAAAAAAAACCGACCCGCAATGACCCGCCCTGGCCCGAGACATTTGGGGCGGGTCCGCCCCGCCCCGTCTTGCAAATGGGGCGGGCCCGCCCCGCCCCGTCTATACAATGGGGCGGGTCCGGGTATTAGAATTGACCCGTGCCGCCCCGACCCGACCCGACCCGACCCGCTGAATATACAAGTATACATACTTTTTCTTAAATTATAGTACTACAAATATACTTCAACATACATATGTGTATATACAATAAATCATAAATTCTTTGATCTTATAATATATGAATACGGAGTATATATTATAATGAGATGCACGAGGGATTATCAATGTCTTCTTTATATATAGAATTTTAATACATATATTCAATTATTAATATAACTAATAAGATTAACTATTCAAGTTTGAGTAATTTTTCCTTAATTTTTGAAATTTTTAGCGTATCATGAATTTGATTTAATATATTGATTTTTAATTATTATTTAGAGATAAACATTATGTAGATTCAATTGGTAACAACTTCCCACAAAAAAATACATACTAGCTAATTAGGTTACGGCGGGGCGGGGCGGACGCGCCCCGCCTCGCCCCGCATGGGGCGGGTCATGGGTCAACAAATTTGGACCCGTGCAGGTCACGGGGCGGGGCGGACCCGCCCCGCCAAGTCACGGGGCGGGTCCGGGTCTTGAAATACCCGCCCCGTCCCGACCCATTGCCATGCCTTAATCCATCCCACCTTTTTGGCCCCTTTTTTTCATTTTTGTCAGTCCCAGTGTCCCATGCCATGTTTGTGTGGTTCAAATCCATCCCTACTTAACAAATTGTCGGTCTCAGTATCTCATACCATGTTTGTGTGATTCAAGTTCATCCCTACGTAACTAATTCAGTATGAACCACACCTAAAACGTGCCACCCTCTTAGGGAATATTACTTTTCATAATATAGGTCCAACAACTCAAGTGAAAGTCTTTGGTAGTATATCTGGAACACAGCAACACTTGAAGTGAAAGTTAAAACAAAACATTGTGATTTGGGAGGAATAATAATTGACAGTTATTTGATTTCTGTAGTGTTTGTATTTTATCTTTACTTTGATTTTATTATCATTGAGCTGCCACTAGCTTCATTGTGATAAATTGATAATCCAATGCGATCTGTTATGACAGGAGACTGCTGTAAGCCATTGTGTATACAGAAAGAAAATACATCATGCTGCTGGTGACTGCTCACAAGTCATACCCGATGTAGCTTCGGATCCATCACTACCTCGCACAAAAAATGCACCATGCGTTAGGTGTCACCATCCAGAGGCTATCTTCTTCCAGGTCACGTATAGTTGTTGAGTATCACCGGTTTAGGTGCATGCTAACATCACTATACTCTAGCTGACTTGAGTAATGAACGAATGTATGATAAACTGTTGTTCTAATAGAAAATATATTATTAATGCAGGCAACTAGTAAGGGTGAAGAAGGAATGGCTCTGTTTTTTGTTTGCTGCAACCCGACTTGTGGCCACAGGTGGAGGGATTAACATTGCTTGTTAATTTGCTTGCAAGTTAGCTGTGCAGATGCGCTCTTCTATGAATTACTCTTTTGTATGCCACCCTTTGTCTGGAGAATTTAAATTTGGGGGGCCTGCTAGTATAAAAACACACTTGTCAAGTTTACTTTTTTAAAATGGAATCGCCTATATTAACATCATTAGAATCAATATTCTTATAATGGACTCAACATAATCAGAAGACCCCCACACTAGACTTATAATAACCAAAGTACCCTGACCCCCCCCATTAGACACAAAAATGACTGCGCTAAATTGAGCAAACTGAAACAATAACCATTTGTAACAACATTGGAGCATTGTTACTTGTGATCATCACAGACCTAACTATGAAAATAATAAAACCCACTGCCAAGACAAGTTTCAAAGTAAAAAACAAACTGAAATAAAATAAAAACTCGAATCGAGTCTTTAACTCAATGTTTTCCCCGGGTACCTTATTTGGTGGCCTATGACTTGCACCTAATAATCTTGGTGAGTCGGTCCATCTTGACTTGCCACCTTGACATATTTTTAAATCTCCCATTGTTCCCTTTGCCAGAACTAGAGTAGCCTAGGCATGGGCTCGGGCCGGGCCTGGACGGTTTTTTTTGTGTTGTTGAGACCTGGAACCGGCCCGGGTAGCTACCGGGTCCAGGCTGGGTACATTATTCTTTTTTTAATTTTCTAGTTACTTCCTACCCTCCCCCAACACCCCAAACCCCTCTAAAACACCCACCCCAACCCATTTACCTCCCAAGAATGTGAAAAAAAATTGGCCTGGACCCGACCCAGCCGGGCCGGTTCATTTTTTTGAGACCCGGAGCCCGTCCTGAAAAAATACGATCCGGGTGGCCCAGAACGGTCCCTGGTACCGGGCCGGGCTGAAACAGTACCGGGCTGGGCCGGTTACGGGCCGGTTGCCCCGGCCCGAGTCCATCCCTAGAGTAGCCTCCACCACATGTCCTTCCTCATCAGCTCCCATTGACCGTCAGTGGAACAAAACCATGCAAATCATGCAATACCGCCTCTCTTAGATGTGCAAAAAAATGAGATGACAAGTTAGTCTGAGTGTATCTTTGAAAAGAACATTTTAGAGTTTTTTTAGTAACATCCAACTTTTAATAACATAGAGGGTTTTTAAATGAACAGATTGCAAGACTATATTTGGAAAAATGAGCTATAGTTGGAATCCATTGTCTGGGATTATTGTATAGTGTCAGATATAGATTATTGAATTTGAAATGCTTGGCTGATTAATAAAGCGGACTTGTTTGGCAACACAGTTGAAATAATGCTGTGATTTGGTCGGACTTTTTATACATTTCAGGGGTTTTCAGTTTTTCCTTGAACACTTTTAGAGTTTTAGTTACATAAACACTATTGTGACTATATATGCTAGTCAATTTCGAAACGGGTGGCTACTTTTATATATGGACAAAATTGTGGCTACAAAAGTAATAATAATATGTCACTGTTGTGAAACATGACATGATGATTGATGAAAATAAATAACAATTGAAAAAGTCTTCTTGCGACTTTCTGGTGACTGGTGGTTTCCTGCGGCAATTGTTGATGGAAGCGTCATTGGGGCAAGGGGTGGGGCGTAGGAATTAGAATTAAAATAAATGTATATTAATTAAGCAAAGTTTAGTCATTTTATTTTATAAAAAATGGAAACTAGTAATATTTTCGTCTTCCAAAAATAGAGTTAATATTTTTTTTATATTGAATTATGTTATTTTTCCTAAAAATGTTTGTCTTTTGTTTACATTTTTGCACTTATTTTGTCTCTGTTCTAATTCTAGAGCTATTTTATTTTGAAAATTTATTGCATGTCGCCTATAACTATGTGATTATATTAATTTAATACATTTTCACGTCTTTTTATATTATTTTAATCTTAGTTTGACCTATTTGCAACAAGCACACAAAAACCAACGGAATATATTTTATGTTTTGAATCATCAATAATTTTTATTAACTTCAGGAATCATCAATAAAAACTTACGGAGTATTTGTCAACATTGTGAAAAAGATGCTAAAAACTTAATGTCAACATTGTTTGTTTTTACCAAATTATTCTCAAAAACTTAAACGTTTGATATAGGCTATCTAATATTTTTGTTTTGAAAAATACTACAACAACAACAACATCCAAGCCTTAATCCTAAAAGAATTTGGGGTCGACTAACATGAATCGATCTATGATATCGATGCCAAAAAGAGAAGGCGGACAAGAAAATGAAAAAAAAAAGTAAGATAAAATGAATAAAATAAAGATACAATAAATATAAGATAACAATAATACAAGAATATAACCAAGATAAAAGAAAAATAAATAAAAGAGCATAAAAAGGCTAGAAGATAAAAATAACATAAGAATATAAAAAGATAAGGAAAATAAACGATAAAAGAAACAAGAGAGGAAAGGTAGACAAAACATCAATCGTCCACATGGATGTGTGCCCTCCATTTTGCTCTCTCCAAAGCCATACTCTCATCCAACCCAAGAAGACGCATATCAGTTCTGATTACTCTAATCCAAGTCTGTTTGGGTTTATTTTGAAAAATAGGAAAATAAAATTCTTTGATATAAAAGAAGCGGAGAGGATAGACATATATTATAAAATTCTTAGAGTATATCATAAACATTAATTTCAATGTAAACAATGAAAATTTGATCCTAATACCTTAATTACTTTTTAAAATAGTGAGTATGTTTTATGTTTAATATCCGTGGTGTAACTCGTATTCATTAAGATGTAACTCGCATATATTAATATGTAACTTGCGTATAATAAGATGTAACTCACGCAGAAGAAAATGTAACTTCATAATATATTATCAAATATAACTTCAAAAATCACAATAAACAAACTCAATGCCTTAAAAATCTCGAAAACATATAAAAGTGATAAAAAATTATATTATAGAAAAAGTTTGCCCATATAAAAAATATTACAAAAAAGTGTATGAAATAAAAAGTATATTACAAAAAGAGTATATGAATATAAAAATTATTACAAAAACAAAAATAGTGTATGAATATTATATGCAATATACTTATTTTATTTAGATTAATAAACTTTTTGTTATGTATTGATAAAGAATAAAAAAATAGATTCAATTATAATTTAAGATGAAGATAAAGAAAAGTATGATTGCCATTAATTTTTTAGTATTTTAGTTTGATGGAAAAAGAAAAGAATTGAACAAAAGAAAAATAAAGAAAGAAAAGCAAAATAAAAGGAATTTATGTTGCTCCAAGAAGAAAGAAAAGGATGAGACACTTGCCTAAAGTGGGATCGACACACCATGTGAAAAGTAGGCCAATCCCACGGTATAATTTGCGATCCAGAGTCCAAACAACGTGCACACTTCATTCAAAAGAGGCAGTAATATATATCATAGATATTAAATAATTTCATGAGACCCTACAGTGGCGGATCCATGAATAAAAGTTATTGGGGGTAGAATAACAAATGAAGTACATTTATGAAAAAAAAAACGTCTCCACTGTCTCAAAAAAACATTAATTAAGTATATTAGAACGAATAGCAAAAGTGTTTTTATTTTTTTACTTTTTTTATTGTGTTTCTAACTATTATAGTATTTGTTCTATGTCAAAGTTTATTCTAGGATACATGAGAATTGGTTCAAACTAAATAAAATTAAAGCATATAACAATACAAAAAATCCATAATAAAGTTGATCACAATTTCTCTTCTCGGATTTTCATCTTTTTATTGTGGTCTATTATAGTTTCAATTGCGCATTGTAACTATGAAATAAATCTCCTTTTATAAAGAAACCAAACTGTAACTAAAAAACACACTAGCCGTCGATTCTATTACTCAAATTAATCATCAAAATTAACTTATGAAGGCATTGAAGTACTACAAGTTTATAAATTATAAGACATATTTATACTTGAATGGCCAGATAAAATGCTTTATTATGATAACTATCTCACTATTCTTTAAGACTGATAAAAAATGAAAAAATAATTTTTTTTGTGATAACTATCTCACTATTCTTACGTAAATTTATTAATTGAGTTATTGTATAGTTTAATTTACAATTGGATAAAAGATTTATTTACCTTATATAGTTAATTTTAACCTGTTGGCTTACTATTTACTACGTAGTAACATTTTTATAAATAAAGATAAGTTATACTCCATGTACACGATACAATCCTTACACTTAGCTTTTCCTGTTTCCGTTTTGAATCTGGCTATTCATTCGCCTTCGGTCTGTTGTTACTTCATGTCAGGGTGCAATTTTTTTATTTTTTTAGAAATTTAAATCATTTAATTTAATATTTAGTCCCTTCCATATAAGCCTAAAATGAATAGAAGAAAAATGTTTTACGCATTGGGTAGAGCCGGCCAACATTTATGGGGGGCATCTTTAGTTTTTAGTTGGGGGCAGCTGCCCCCCTCTTATCAACATGGATCCGCCCCTGAGACCCTAGGCTATATATGCAAGTATGCACACACTAACTTTGCCAAATAAGGATTGCGCCCTGAACCTAGGGTTGGATTCGGTTCGGGCCACCCGGCCCGTGATCCGGCCGGGCCCGGTACTGTGCGAGCCCGGAACCAGCCCGGTCGGGCGGTCCGGGACCGGGTATGGACCTGAACCGGTGGGAAGGGGCGGGGCGGGCTCGGTGCTGGATTATTGTGACCCGGCCCGGCCGGGTCGAGCCCGGATCCGGGTCTAATTTTTTTAAAAAAAAAAATTGGTTTGGGCTACTAGCCGTTGGGGGTGGGGCTGGGGACAACCCAAACGGCTATATAGCCGTTGGGTGGGGTAAAGGGGGGGTCTGGGGGGGTTGGCTGGTGGGGGGGGGGGGGGGGGTAAAAAAACCTATAAATACTCCTAATCTTAAACATTTTTTCATATCTCTTCTCCAATTCTTCCTAAATCCTATTCTTAACTCTCTACTCTCTAATTCTCTTATTCTCCATTCTCCAATATATTATATTTATTATTTATAGTTTATATTAATTATCTACTTATATAAACTATAAATAGATATAAATAGTATTATATTACTTATATTTGTTATCTAATTATATATTACTTATATATTTATTATATCTATTAATATAGTTGGAATTATATCTAATTAATTTGAAGTCATTCTATTACTCCCATCCGAAAGACCGAAAGTCCGAAAGAGGTACGAAATTATTCTATTATTTACACTTGTTTAATTACTAGTTAATTTGCTACATTTGACTCTTGTTTAATAGTTAGATAAATAGTTAATTAGTTTTTTACAATTTTTTATTAATTGCTACATTTGACTCTAGTTTAAAAAATATGTTGTACACAAAACTAGTTAACTCACTACTTAATTTGCTATAACTCGAATTAATAGTTAGATAAATAGTTAATTAGTTTTTTACAATTTTTTATTAATGGCTATATTTGACTCTAGTTTAAAAAATATGTTGTACACAAAACTAGTTAATTCACTACTTAATTTGCTATAACTCGAATTAATAGTTAGATAAATAGTTAATTAGTTTTTTACAAATTTTTATTAATTGCTACATTTGACTCTAGTTTAAAAAATATGTTGTACACAAAACTAGTTAATTCCTACATTTTTAATGGCTACATTTGACTCTATATTTTTTAATCGCTACATTTTTTAGATGGATCGTCCTAGATATTCGGTTGATATGGGTAACCTCGAGCGCAACCGAACGAAAGAGCTTGCGAGGAAGAGATCCCGCAAAGGTAAATCACATATCGGCTCTTCATCTCAAAGTCAAGATGATTTTGATACGGGTTACGTAAGGAGGGATGAGGATGCGATGACCGATGAACAACTAGAACAAGAATTGCACCGACATAATTCCCGCTTTTTTCAAGACCAACCGAGGACCATTGACGAAGAAGAGCTCGAGGACGAGGACGACGATGTGGAGGAAGCAATTCCGGAGAGCCACGACGACGAGGAGGAGGGTGGCGGCAGCCATGACGCCGACCAAGCAGCCTCATCCCAAACAGGTACAAAAAAAAGTAAATCTGAATTAATGGCTAATAATTTTTCTAAGTGGAAGGACCCGAACACCGGGAATTGGACCGCAACTTGCAATTGGTGCAAGAAAAACTATAGCTTGGGGATTTCCGGCGGATACGGATCCGCCACAAGACACCTTAAGTCCAAACACCCGGTGGAGTATGCAAAATTAGGCGGCGGAACGGGGAAGCAAACGCAAATATCGAGGTTTGCAAATAACCAACAAGCTTTTGGTAATTTCTCATACAATGATGCACAAAATTTGACAGGTATGGCTAACTTACTTGTTGAAGAAAATTTGCCTTATTTGTTTTCTGAAAGTCTTGCTTTTCGTGATTATGCACAAACTTGTTTAAATCCGCAATATAGAGGTTATAGTCGCAAAACGGTTAAGAAAGAAATTTCAAGGCTTTATGGTGCGGAAAAGGTAAGGTTACAAAATTATTTTGCAAACTTTGATGGACGTGTTACTGTATGTTCTGACATATGGGAGTATACTTATCATAATTTACATTATTTGGGTCTGACTGTACATTATATTGATAATGATTGGCATATGCATAAACGTGTTCTTACTTTCCGTGAATTTAATGATCGTCACACCGCTGAACATATTTATATTTTGATTGAACGTATTTTAATTGAGTATAATTTAATTGATAAGGTGTTTGCTATTGGTTTTGATAATGCTACTAATAATACTGCTGCTATTCCTAGATTGCGTGAATTGTGTGGTTCTACTTCTTTGATGGGTAGATTTTTTCATCAACGATGTGCATGTCATGTTCTAAATTTATGTGTGCAAGATGGTCTAAAAGCGTTGGGAGCATCGTTGGAGGTAGTCAAGGGGGGGATTAGACGTATTTGGGGTAATGGACAACTTAAGAAAAAATGGCATGATTATTTGATAGAAAGAGGTGAGAGATATGTGGCTTTTCCAAAAGATTTGTCTATTCGTTGGAATAGTACCTATAAGTTAATTGGAGTTCTTCTTAGATATAAACAACATTTTCCTGCTTTTATGAAACAATATGATAACTATATTATAAACTCGGTTGAGATCGACACCTGTGAAAAAATTTGTAATGCTTTGATATATTTTAATAATGCAACTGAAACTTTTAGTCATGTTTATAAACCTACCTCAAACCAATTTATTCGTGAAGCTGTTAATCTCGCCGGTGCTTTTTCAAATTTTGAGAATGCTGATTATGTGTGTTATTTTGCTGGTTTTATGAAGGAAAAGTTTTTAAAATATTATTCACATATTCCGCATATTTATGGTATTGCATTTGTTCTCGATCCTCGTTTTAGACTTGGTTCTTTAGAAGAATGTTTGAATTATTATTATGCTGCTTTTTTTGGTCCATTGCCAATGTATGAGGACAACACAATTGATCCGAAAAAAGAATACAACGAGGTTAGTGATATATTTTATGCATTATTCAATGAGTTTCATGCACAATATGGCAATGCGCCCCCTCCCCCGACACAAACATCATCTAAAGGAAAATCAATTTTCAAATCTACGTTTGCCAATCTTATTAAAAAAACAAAATCAATTCCCGCTACACAACAAAGCACAATTAATGAGATTTCTTTGTATTTAACTTATGATGTTGATTTTGAAGAAGATGATGATTTTGACGTACTAAACTGGTGGAAGGGAAAAGAAAGAATGTTTCCGGTTTTAGCAAAGATGGCTAAGCAAGTGCTATCAATGCCGGTTTCAACTAGGGATGGATTCGGTTCGGGCCACCCGGCCCGTGACCCGGCCCGGCCCGGCCCGGTACTGTGCGGGCCCGGGACCGGCCCGGTCGGGCGGTCCGGGACCGGGTATGGACCCGAACCGATGGGAAGGGGCGGGGGCGGGCTCGGTTCTGGATTTTTGTGACCCGGCCCGGCCGGGTCTGGCCCGGGTCCGGGTCTATTTTTTTAAAAAAAAAAAATTTTTTTGTTTGGTTTGGCTACTAGCTGTTGGGGCCTTGGGGGTGGGGTAAAGGGGGGGTCCGGGGGGTTGGCTGGTGGGGGTGGGGTGGGGGGGTGGGGGGTAAAAAAACCTATAAATACTCCTAATCTTAAACATTTTTTCATATCTCTTCTCCAATTCTTCCTAAATCCTATTCTTAACTCTCTACTCTCTAATTCTCTTATTCTCCAATATATTATATTTATTATTTATATATCTACTTTATAGTTTATACTTAAGAAGTTAAGTTGGAAAATCAAGATGCCATTATACGGTATAATTTTGATAAGCAGAAGGACCTGAAGACCGGGATGTGGTACGCAATTTGCAAATGGTGCGAGAAAAAATGTAACATGGGGGCTTCAGGCGGATTCGGGATGGCAATCAAGCATATGAAGTCATGTGACAAAGCCAAAGGATCGGGAGGTGCGGGAAGTTCCGATTGATTACAAATTTCAAAATGTTTATCTCTTAAAGTTTGTTTTAATTTTCAAATGTAGTTCCTATTTCATTTCAAATAAATGCAATTGAAGTTTGTTTTTAATACTCGTATAAAACTATAAACTATAAAATATAAATTAAAAAAAAATTAACCGGACCCGACCCGTGACCCGGGCGGGTGGCCCGGCCCGAACCGGACCCGTCCAACCCTCGGGCCGGCCCCGGGCCCACTATTCTTGAACCGGCGGCCCGACCGGGCCTAGGCCCGGCCCGAGCCCGACCCGGCCCGAATCCATCCCTAGTTTCAACGGTTGCCGTGGAACAAGAATTTAGTTCGGCCGGCAATGTTCTAACACAAACCAGAACGAGGTTGAGCGCTGAATCTCTTGAGATGCTTATATGCTACCACGATTGGTTGAAAACAGCACTTAGAGCTCAAGAAATTGACATCACTCCATCCCAACACTTTATGGATGAATCTACAACAGAGGGTGGCTCTACATATGCCGGAGATTCCGATTAAAAATAATTATAGTTCCTATTTAATTTTCAAATGTAGTTCCTATTTCATTTGAAATAAATGCACTTGAAGTTTGTTTTTTAATACTTGTATAAAACTATAAAGTATAAAATATAAATTAAAAAAAAAAATTAACTGGCCCGACCCGGCCCGGCGGGTGGCCCGACCCGTGACCCGGGCGGGTGGCCCGACCCGAACCGGACCCGTCCAACCCTCGGGCCGGTCCCGGGCCCATGTGATACGAACCGGCGGCCCGACCGGGCCCTACCCAGCCCGAATCCATCCCTACCTGAACCCGGCTATTTGATGCAACTCTATTTGATGTAACTAACGAGTATTAAAATTTAAAAGTAATGGATTATGTATTAGAGGCTACTCACAGTATTTTCTTTACAAAAAAACTAAAATTAAAAAAAAAAGATTATGAAGTGCCGCTTCAAACGTAAAATTACAAGCTTTAAGACACTTTTAAAAATTATAATGACAAACATACAACTAGAAGCTTTTAAGCTATGTTTGTCAAATATAAATTTCTGCCTTTTAGCTTTTGTACCGTTCAAAAAGTCTCTAAAAGCTTCTAGTTGTATGTTTGGCATGACAATTTTTAAAAGTTTTTCAAAGATCAAAAGATCTTTTTTGAAATGCTACAGGGAGTAGCATCTGAGAAAAGCCCGTGACTTTTAGTATTAATTAGTCCTAACAACTTTTATACCAAACAAAACTAAATCAAACAGTCAGCTTTTTACCAAACAACTACCAACTTTTCTTTTTAAGATCTTTTCAGTCACTAAAAGTTAACAGGTATTAAAAAGCTCATAAAAGTATCTTTTCAACTAGTTATGCCAAACATACGATGAAGGTTATTAAAAAGCTAATAAAAGTATCTTTTCAGCTAGTTGTAATGAAATGGACGATGAAGGTTGTCACTTGCTCTATAAAAGAAACATACGGAGTAACAGCCTATTTTTTAACGTCTCAACTCTCAAGTGAAGTCAATTGATTAACAAATATGGAAAGTTTCATCATCCATTTCATTACACCTTCAGTGTACAGTGGAATTTTGTAACTGGAGGTATAACACAATGTTATACAAATCAGGTGCCCTCATTGTTAACACACAATGTTTTCATTCACACTTAGCTGCACGTGTGATTTCCCACGACACAGTTTTATGTACATTGCCTGTAACATCATGACCCTTCACCAATGCCACGGTGAACTTTTCGTTCTCAAGGGAAGAAGGATACATTAATTGTTCTTCCTGAAAATGAGTATTCCAATGAAAAAATGTCAGCACTAGAGATTCCGTTTCGACTCAACCAATAGTAGGGGTTTGTTTGTATCATGGAAAATGTTAGGGGAAGAAAATAGGAACAAAAATAGACATAATGATAAATTGGGGGTGGGGTTAGCCACTTTTTCCCTAGTACTATTATTTTCCCAGATGCTAAACCTAACTTAATTGACAAAGCTAGCTACACCAACAAAATGAAAATGTTGATATTTTGTTCAAATTAAAGCAAATGCACATTGACAATTTTAACTCCATTCTTATATAATCCGTCTTATTTTCTTTTACAGCAAGTTAGATCCTTTCAGCCATAATGTTACCAAATCCAACGACTTTAAGAAAAGTTTCTTACCAAATTTGGGCAATTGTTATCATATATTAATAAACCAAGGCCAACCATTACCTCTGGCAAGTCACAGAACTCATCAGGAGTAATCTGTAGTAACTCGGTGGCAGTATAACCCGAACACCAGGCCAGTAGCTTTCCAGTGCTATCAGCAATGGTTATTCTCAGATGGAAAGTTCGCACCACTTCATCATTGCATATGATGTCACAGAAGTTACACTTTAGTTCTGCAGTAGAAACCTCATCATCACATACAAAATGACCGCAGGGGGCATGTGCTAATCTCGTACCGACGTGACAATACTCAATTTGGTCAAGCCAAACACGGCATACCTAAGACATATCATGCATAAGCAACCGATTAAAAGGCAGCACACAAAAACAAACTGTGGAAACAAATAAACTCGTTGGGACCACGGGATGTACATGTGTACCAGTAGCTTGGGCTGATAGATCAGAAAGGTTTGAGAATTTGTGAAGACAAGATGAATTAAGCAGTGACGGTAGGCAGCTAATATTAACAAAAGATGCTCCAGGATCATTTTCAAACCATGACAGTTCAAGGCTGTCAATGAAATCAAATACATAAATGATCAGTACAAGCACTTGATTGTATGCACAATCAAGGGTTTACGATGTTCCAAAAAACACTATTCTCCTCTAATAATATTTAAACTAGTGTTAACAATTAAAATTTATATATTAAGAAATTACCCTAAATTTCTATTCATGCGCAAAACCTAAATGCAAATTATATATAAAAAAATACTCAAAATCAGAGAATAAAAAGGGATTTTTTACCAACGAATAGTACACTTGCAAAAGAATTTGGGAGGGGGAGTAAATTATAATCATAAGCAGTGCTAATGCATTTACATCATTACATATTGAGGGATACACTCACGTTTTCTGTTGGGTCATAGAACATGACAGACCGGAAATAAAGATGGTGTGCCCCATGCTAAGCCTTCCTGTTGACCTGAAATGGTTTAGTGAAAAATATTAATTACATACACACATTACAATTATGCATCTGTGTAGAAAGATTCGTGTTTCACCAAATATTGGAAATCAATTCTAGCTATATCTTAAATATATGTGTTGGTTTAACGAAACTTATCATACTTAACTTGTTAGGGATACCTTTTTTTAAGAAAAAGGGACCATTTCATATAATAAAAATCAGATTTTTTCTTCCAAATAGGACTCTTGCTTTGGGTTTTCAAATTGGACTCTTATTCGGGAGGCGAAAGGGGTATGTAACAAAATATCGTGCCACACATCTAATAGAATAAGTAATTAATACACTGCAATTTCAATACTAGTTGTACAAATATTATACCTACCAGGATCCTATAAAATGTAGCCTTGCCCAAACGGCACCTGTTGCATCTTCAATTTTTAAAGAAAAAGTGTGATCACCCATGCTTCGGATGCCTTTAACATCTCCATAAAGGCTGATTCCAGTCATCTTGTCACGCATATCTGTAACAAATGGCTGCAAGAGTTTAAACATGTAAGAGAACTAGAGAAGTTGACAACGAGTATTCTGCATCAGATTATCAAGATTCTTCCACATATGTATTCCCAAAATGATTTGCAAAGTCTACTTTCCTTGGTCAACACAGTTTTGTTTTGTTTTGTTTTGTTTTATTTACATATTTAGGATATCAATTTTATTATATTCTAATTTTGATTTTGCAACTTTATAGAACTTTCAATTTAGTTTCTGAATATGTAAGTTACAATTATTAAAACTGATTTAATTAATTTCGGGAAGGATTTAACTTTATTGTTAGTCACTCAGTCAACCTTGAAAACCGGATCTATTTGGGGTGAAGGAAGTAGAAAAGTAATTTTTCATGCCGATAACATATCGACATATCCCTTAAAATAGAACATATAGGGCCCACTTGGAATCTGGAAAATGATGGGGTAGAAAAACAAATGCCAAGTCACTTTTTTTATGTTTTGCCACCTAAAATGGAAAGAAAAATAAAACATCACATCTTTATTTATTTTCTAAATATATTTAATTCCGGTCTTTATATGAAATAAATATTAAATAAAATGAATTTTAACAAAAATATAAATAATATAAATAAATAAATAAATATTTCATTTTATCCCCAAACTTTCTCTCCCTCAACTTTTCTTCTCTATTTTCTATGTTCTGAATGGACCATAGTTACATAATTTGCATAAGAGGCCACGATCTGTGAACCGAACGCTACATACCCAATCGCGGTACGAAAGCGTTTCAAACGCTACCTGGATCGCCGGATAGTACGCTTCCCTACTCGTTCCGAGTCGCTATTCATGTCGATCGCAATTGCTATCCATTTCGATCGCACTCGCTATTCATGTTGGTCGCATATGATCGCACCAAACGATTTTCCCAGCGAACCGGATTGGACCCCAGACTCATCATTTCCATTCAGTGTAAGGATATCAAGACGCGCTGATTTCAAACGTTCCTACAGGCGTGACGATTTAGAACCATTAGCAACCTCTTCATTTTCTAGAATATTAATGTTTTTTATTTTGTTTCATTTTATGAAATCATGTTATGAAATCTGTTTTTGTTTAAAGTTATGAAATCTGTAGTTCTGTTTTATTATAGTGCCAAAACATAAGGTACAACGTACCGAACATAAGGTACAGCCTACGGAACGCATACCAAAATGAACCTACCCCTATCGAACAGGATACACTAGACCTAGCAAACCGTGTTCCAGATCTCTTTCCGCTAACTATGTGACTATGGAATGGACTATCATGGAAAGTAAATTTACCCGGAAGGGATAATTTCTGAAGTCGATGGATCCCAGCGAGTCACATGGCAAAGACACTTGTGAAACTGGAATTCCCTGCCCTGAATCAGATTCAATTAACATCTTGGATCCCTCACAACGATTCTGTGTCAATGCTACACACACCTGAGAAGGCCTTAGAGTTATTTCATTTTCCCTTAAACGTAACGATTTGAATGTTTTCTGACTTATATCATCCATGTCATACTTGTTCCGTATGCTGAATAAGAGGGACAACATAGAGTTGTGTCGCACTTCCATATTCAAGGCAAAGCTCTTCATTTGAATCAAGACCACTTTCAGCAGAACTTGCTATAAATGGTGCTTCCATGGCAAGCATACTTCCAACACTGTTAAAGGAGCTAAATGTAAAAAAATGTACAAGACAAACACCACAAGGCATGTGTGAAAAGAATATGAATATTATACCTAAAAAGATTAGCAAACAGGACCTGCTCACCCCATAGTAGAAACTTCAACCTGACACCATCATTATCAACAAGAGTGATTTGTTTTCTCTGTAAACTACCATGTATGCCTTGAATTTCCAATGGCCCAATAGATTCTATCCTGCAAGTGTTTGAAAGTAGTGGATATTTAGCATAAGAAACATACAAATTGACCATATTGACATGTTTTCAACATTAAAAAATATAGGGTTACATATATTTATACTTTTTATTGTGTTTTTACTTGCCCATTTTGTCCAACTTTTTAGCTTCACACTGTTCACACTCCCTGTTTCCTTTGAATGTATTTTTTCTACTGCAAAATTTTAACCAAGATCTCCAAAATTTTCAAATATTGCAAGTTTGTACAGCACTTCTAAATTTTCCCTTAGCCAGGGGTCTTCATGGAACAACCCTTCTATCCCTTGGGCTAGAGGGAAGATCTGCATACATCTCACCCTCTCCACACCCTACATCCGAATAGGGCTTACTGGCTCTGTTCGGTTTGTATTGGTTTATGTAGATACTCCCACAGTTTCAAGTCATCGTCATCATCATCGTCCTCGTCCCTGTCCCCGTCCCCGTCAACGTCATCATCATCATCTACATCTACACCTACACCTACACCTACACCTACACCGTAAGCTCAACCAGTTGGGTCAATGGCTATTTATATTTTTGGTACCAAATAAGTGTGTAAAATTACTTAACAGGTTAACCTATGTAACAAGAACCGACTGGACCGGGCGGCTCGACCTGGAACCCAGCGACCTGGCACCTAGACAGGTCTGGTTATCCATAACTCGCTAATACACTTAAACCTGTGAATACCCAGTGACCCGCTTTGACTCGCAACGTCCAAAACACGGAAAACCCCAGTAAAATCTTGAGAAACCGGCTGAAAATAAAATGCTGAGGTAGCTGGGAATCGACCTCGCGTCATTTGGGGGATGGAGTGCTTCGGAATCCACTGTACTACATAGGCCAGTTGTGATATGTTGTTCTTTAAGGGAAATTGAAACGTTAGAATACAATGTCAAGTTAAAACTCTCATTTTAAGTAAAAAAAACTCTCATTTTATGTATTAATTAATACATAATGAATATAAAATATATTATTTTTGTAATTGTAGTACCGGTTATGTATACAAAATTTCAATGTAAGTGAAAATACTTATATGATGTTTTTAAGATTTTGTATTAAATATATTTATTTTCATATTTTTGAAAAAGTGTGTGATACATTTAAATACTTTTTCTAAAAAGATAATCATGTCAAATATATTTTATAGATGTATATTAATCAAACCAAATAACATTATGATTGTGCTTTCAATGCTTACTAGTATTATAATTTTTTTTAATTTGATTATTGTGAAAAATATTTACCTTTAATTTTAATTTTATATATTATTATATTTATATCATTATAATAAATTACAAATGTTGAGGGTTTTCCCAGGGTTGACCAAGTTGACCCACAGGGTCTGGGCTGACCCGTGACCCGGTCATTTGTCCAGGTTGCTCTGCGGTCCGGATCTTGTAACATAGGTTAACAGTTTAACACTATAAATTCAAGCAAAAGAGCATATACTGGCAATGTTCGTCCTCCAGTTGAAACCTTCATAAGAAGGAATAATAAGAAAAAATTTAAAATGTCATCAGTCATCACCATTGACATTTTCCACGTTCATGGAAAATATCACTGAATTTTCGGTTTAACAAAAAAGCTGTTCAAAAAATTGTCACATTTGAATATCAAAAGGCTATTGGTTGTGATTTTTTTACAATATCTCTAGTCCAATAGCAATGCACTAGAGAATACTTATATATCTACAAAGCATCAATTATTGCTTATGGATGAGGGATATTCTAGAATCTAGACATATTAGTTCCTTTATCTGAGTGCAAATTTCGAAACTGCAATCATTTTGGACCGGTGTGACTGTGTGAGTAGACATAGAAGCATGTTTTTATATTGACAATTCCATGGAGGATTTATGTTTTTTAATTTAATGAATGCATAAGGTCATCATTTCTATCCAGCTGTTTATTCTAGTCTCTAGAGTACGCACAGCTCAGGGAGAAAAGAGTGCAATGAAAATATATTATCAGAGTATCAGACCTTGCATACAGTGAGTAAGAGGCACCATTGCTAACTTCATCAAGGCATATGGAAGAGAAGGAGTCAGAACAAAACTGAGCACCTAACATTATTGCATCATCATCTTCATCCTGCATTGATGGTTTAGAGTGACTTAGCAGCTCCGGCAGTATAGAACAATATCAATACAGGTCAAAACACATTAAATCCAGAAGTGTATATTACCAGATCTTTCAGTTCAAACTTTAAGTATGTGTATAATAATGTGGGTTTCCAATATGCACAAAATGCTAGTAGCAACCCACAGATAAATTAAAGGGAACATAATTGGTAATGAACTCCCTTTCATGGGCAACTAAAATCTACTCATCAAAAAGTATAGCAATCTAAACAAAATAAAGGGGATAGAGTTGGACCTGAAATCCCTTTTATGGGAAATAAATCCACAGTACCTCATCTAAAAGTATAGCAAGATATTCAGTGGGCAAAAGACGTGCACCACTCGAGAATCCTTTTGTAGTTGTAAGGCGGCATCCTGTGACAAACACTTCACGTCCCTTCTTCAAAATGCCATTTCTAGGATCCGCCAACTTGTAGAACCTGATTTAGAGTACATCTTAGATATCTGAATAAGAAGTCAAACGTATTCAAGGAGAACATTTGTTTACACCATAGTAGAATTCCAAACAGACTCATCACTTTTTATTCAGATGCACTGTTAAGCCTTGCCAATTTTATTCATGTACAAGAGAGGGACACTATGGAAAAATAGAATAACAAATAACTCCATTTGGTACAAATTAAGCAAAATTTCCAACAGCGTGTCTAACCTACTTCAGCCATAACTAACATAGAATGTCTATATGGTAATAGCGAGCAATTTCTATGGTTATCAGCTTATCATGAGCCGTTTCTTCCGCTCTCCAAGCCAACAAAGTATGCTACTCAACCTTCTAGAAAAGTCGAAATTTTAAATAGAGTACACATATAAAATTGAAAGAAGCAAAAGTAAAGCCACTAGACATGTGGTTAATAAAAAAAGACAGGAAAATTATTTGACACTAAATCCACTACATGTGAGTATGTGACACTATCAATGTGAAATATCAGATTGAGCAACTGTCATGACTCATGAATCATAACTTTCACTAACTCACCTCCGGTGGAGATACAAATCAATTGTATTAGAGCTCCAAAAATCCCCCAGATGAAGCATGTAGATATTTGTTCCTGGGAGGAAGCCAGTATGTCAACAATGATTGATTTGCATCTTGAGATAAAATTGAAAACTTAAGCACCACTGCCTCATGAAACTGTGACATGGACTGATTAGCAGCTCTAAGATGCATCAAAGTTTTTTTAAATGGTGCCATTTTTGGAAATAACAAAAACTATTCCATCTGATGACAAGCTTGAAACTCTCATCTGGAGACTGTAAGTTTACACTTTACATTCTAAAATAAATGATGAAAAGATTTTAAGGACGATTCAAATGATTACGGACCATAAATGATTCGGGAAGTGCAATTGACATTGAACAGCATGTAATATACAATGAATTCTGACATGTGGAGGCAGTGGATCATATCAAGAACATAAGATACTCAACAGAAGATTAACTTTAAATTCAGACTTCTCTACCTGGAAGAATAACAACATCTATGATAACAGCTTCAATAACGCTACTCAGTGACAAGAACTTCTTCTCATAGATAGAGTCTATAGTCACAGTGTTCTGTAGCTTTCCCCTCTTATGTTTCTTCCTCAATTGACTTATACAATCTAGTTGTTTCTTTGGAGCACCACCCCTGCTCTGCTCATTCCAAGCCTGTAAATGATCCAAAATTTGACCAGATTCAAAGTTGAAGTACTTTATTTACAGAGAGCAAGTTTTCAATGTATTTTTGAGAATTTTAAGCATATGTTGATCAGTTTATAAAATTTAAAGCACATTAATGGTTGGAAAGAGTATGGATTCAAACACAGGAATATGCAATGCCCTGTTATATTTAATAAGCTACACAATAGTAGCGGATCTGTGTACTAGCTCCGTCACAGGTATGAAAACTTCCCTAGCTCTCACAAAATGTTTTGTCACTTTGCCCTTAAAGAAGCAGATTTGAGATTTATATTGTTTCTCTCCTATTTACAAATTTCAATCACATAGTTTTAATGTTACTTGGGCTCCATAATTCAGAAGGACGGTGAGTTAGATGGAGATGTATCCCATAGAATCAGAACAGAGTGGATGAAGTGGAAGAGTGCGTCAGGATTTCTATGCGACCGAGGTATGCCGACTAGACTGAAGGGTAAATTTTATAGGACAGCAATTAGGCCTGCATTACTGTATGGCGTAGAGTGTTGGGCGGTGAAACAATGTCACATTCATAAGATGAGTGTGACAGAGATGCGCATGCTGCGTTGGATGTGTGGGCATACTAGGAAGGACCGCGTGAGGAATGAGACAATCAGACAAAGGGTGGGAGTAGCACCTATTGAAGACAAGATGCGGGAGTCGCGTCTACGGTGGTTTGGTCATGTGCGTAGAAGACAGAGTGATGCACCTGTTAGGCGAGTTGAGATGTGTGAACAAGAGGCAGGGAAGAGAGGGAGAGGAAGACCCAAACAGACGTGGGTTAGGGGAGTTCGAAGTGATATGTTTTTTCTGGGGTTGGATGAGGGCATGACTTTGGAGAGAACTAAGTGGAGGGCGGGTATTCACGTGAAGGAGTGATCTTGATAATTTTTTTCCCTCATCTTTTTTTTTTCGTAGTTTTTTTTATCCTTATATATATATATATATATATATTTATAAGCATTATTTGCAACCTTTTAATTTTATCATTTATATATATATATATTCATCTTTTTTATATTATCTTTTCATAATAGCTTATCTTTTTATCTTTATTCCTTCTTTTCCTTTTGGTTGTGATATCATGTATAGATTCATGTTAGCCGACCCCAATATCTTTTGGGACTAAGGCTTGGATGTTGTTGTTGTTGTTGAATCACATAGTTTTAACCCTCTTACTATTCATGCCAGAACAATTTGGCAAACCAATTTCGGATGAAGGGAGAATGTATTAATCGTGCAAAAAAGTATACATGAAGCCTCCTAATTTTAGGAATTCTGCTTATCTGTGTAAATAGAGAGACATAAGACAGGTTTGTATAGGATTGAACTTGAATAGAAAGACACACATCCACACACACATGGAAGAACATGCATATATACACATTATACAGTTGGAGACCAAAAAAGTGAAGAAAACTGAAATTGAAAAAAGAAATGAAAGGTTAAAGTAGCGGGGAGACCTGTGAAAGATCGGAGAGGAGAATGGCAGCAGTGACGCCGCTGGAGTAGGAGGTGCACGTTTTGAGGATTCTGGAAGCAATCCAGCTCCAACCAGGTCCTATCGGTTCCCCTCCGTCTTCATTTCCAAGAGGTGATAAAATTGCTTTTGCGTAGTGGATGAATTGCAGGAACGGATCGTCCTCTTCTTCGCGTAGTGGTCGATCGATTTCCATGTCGATGTCGCAGTGCGTCACCCGGCTGCAGTGTGCGGGTTCTCAATTAGGGCGGGAATGTGAGAATGACCACGTACAGCGTCAAAGCCTTGGAGTACATGCTACGTCCTTAACGTCCTTTGTTAAATACTCCGCGAGTTTTTGCCATTTTCAGTCTTATTGACATTAGTATTGGATTTTTATTTTTTCCAATTTTAGTCCTTCACTATTGGCTATATGCATTTTCAGTTCTCGATTTCAAAGTTTTCCACATTTAGTCCTTAGAGTATTATCAAATTCATATTTTTACTCCTTCCACTTTAATTTTGACACAAAAAATTAAGGACTAAAAATGTCATTATTATAATTGTTGAAGGACTAAAAGTGTCACTTTCATGAAACTCGAAGGACTAACTATGAAAATTTTCAAAGACGAGTGCCAAAAGTGTCTCTAGCACAATGGTCAAGGAAAAAAAATGGAAAAAATCAAAGTTCAGTATCAAAAATGTCAAAGACATAATAGTCGGAGGACTAAAAGTGACAAAAACTCAATACTCTGTTTACCCCAAATTAACTTCTCATTTTACTCATTTATCATTTAAAAATTAAAAGTACCCATTTATCACTTACCTCCTTTAATTCATTTGAATTTTGGACTACTACGTCTCTTTAATACGATAGTATGTATGTCCCAAACAAAAAAAAAACTTATATTTAATATGTAAATGTATTCTTGGAAAATCAACTTTTTACTTTTTTCTTACCCAAAAACCCGTGAAGTCAAACCCAAAAATTAATTTTGTGACAGGTAGAGTACTAAGGGAGTGTTTGCAATCGCTCCTGCTTTAAAAATATCATTTTTAAAGTAATTTTGAAAAGTAAAAGTTAGTGGTGTTTGATAAAATATGTGCTTTTTGTTTATCAGAAAAATTTAAAAGCAGATTCTAGCTTTTAACTTTTAAGTGTTTAAATTAAGCATAAGTTGTCACTTGAAAAAACTCTTTTCAATTTTTCAAGCCAGAAATTGAAAATAACTTCTGTTGAGATTTATTCCTTCAACTCGTAGGCCCAACACACGTCCCAAGAATTTCGAATGGAGAGTAAGGTGAAGCAGATGAAAAAACAAGCAAGGAAGGCTCAATAAGGATTCTTATTATACTGAAGGGGTTACAAGGTTGAGAGGTCGTTCGTCTCCCACTATGCTACGAGCTGTTATAATGCTATAGTATTAGAGTACTCAATTGTCAACCCTTTGCAATGAAATAAATGGTACTCCCTCCGTTCCTAAATAAATTTCCAACTTTCCTTTTTCATCCGTTCCAATTAAAACTTCCATTTTCCCTCTTTAGTAAAAAATTTGTGGTTCACAACATTTCTTACACATTTTTCTCTCCTCTGCACAACTCTCCATCACACAATACCCACTATCTTAAACTCTGTGCCAAACCTATTTGGAAGTTTTAATAGGAACGGAGGTAGTACTATTTATACCGCCAATGAGTAGCTAGATGCGTTGAACCCAGCTGGGGTGTGGATGGCTTGATCCCAACCACCAAATCTTCTACATTAAATGCTCAATCACCAAATCTTCTGCATTAAATGCGCTTCCCATCAGGATCTTGGCTTCCCACCAATGAGTGGGGACGTTCATCCCCATGAGCTTGCCTCATGTTTCCTGTTGGGATCTTAGCTTCCCGCCAAGGGGGTGGAGATGTTCGTCCCCATGAGGTTGCCTCTTATTTCCTGCTGGGATCTTGGCTTCCAGCCAAGGGGTGGGGACGTTCATCCCCGTGATCTTGCCTCATGATTCCAACAGGGACCAGAGTCCTGCGAGACGTGCGTCACTCGCTGTCCCTGGGTCGAAGCACCCGCATATGCTAGAAGACGGATGTCTCCTGGGCCATTATGTTAAGGTTTGGCCCTGTTGGAGACGAACCTCGCCAGGATAAGCAGAAAGGTAGCTCGTGGTTTCGTGCCTTCTGGGAACGTTTGTAGGGCGGGCCTTGAGGGTTTTATGGGCCAAACCCTGTTAGGCCATTAACCCAACAACTTCTTTTATTTTTTTTGCAAACTTACACCTAAGTAAGTGCATATGAATTTTACACTATTCACTATTCAAATATACTATTTTGACTAAACTTTATTTATTAATGTATTACTACATCCATTTGATTTGATACAATTATTAATAAAGTGGTTGAAAAAAGTAAAAATTGTGATTGACGTTTGAATTTAATAAAGTGAAATGTCGTGAACCACATTTTTCGATAAAAAAAATGGTACTTATTTTGAGATAACTCAAAAAACAAAGGGAGATTTACCTAAATGGGAGGAATTAAATTTTTATTTGCCAAAATAGGACTAAAGTTTAAAAGTTCTGTACATAGGAGTTATTATTTATACTTGGTCAAAAATACCCCTCAATTTGGCAAAACAGAGAGTCACCTACAAACTGCCGGACCTGCCACCGCCAGACCGGCCACCGCCGGCGCAACCTCAAAACATGCCGCCGGTGAAGAGTTGGCCGTCGTCGTTGCAGACCTGATCGTCGCCGCCATAGATCTGGTCGCCGCCTCTCTAGATCCGGCCAGATCTTACTTCCGCCAACCGCCAACTGCCATCCCAGCAGATCTGGCCGCCGTCAGTGCAGCTTCAGACGCCGCCGCCACAAATCCGGCCGCCGCCATGGTAGATTTGACCGACACAACCACTGATGCCAACTTTTTTATCAAAATGCCAACATGAATCTGGAATGCCAATTTAATGGCATTTTCAAAGAAAAATATTAAATTTTTAAAGAATTAGAATGTCATTTTGATGGCATTTAAAAAACAAAGGGAAAACTATCAAATAAGCCCTCGTACTATACCGAAAAGGTCGATTAGGCCCTCGTACTTTACAAACACTCAATTAAGTCCTCGAACTATGAAAAAACGTTCAATTAAGCCCTTTCGGTCGGTAAGTAACCGGTTTCCCGGTTAAATGTAACATGTTTCCCGGAAGCCGCCGTTGCTGGGGTTCGAGCACATCGTCGCCATCGTCGTCGTTTAACCGGGAAATCGGTTACTTACCCACCAAAAGGGCTTAATTGAACGTTTTTTAATAGTTCGAGGACTTAATTGAGTGTTTGTAAAGTACGAGGGCCTAGTCGACTTTTTCGGTATACTACGGGGGCTTATTTGATAGTTTTCCCAAAAACAAATTGGCAATTGTAAAAACGAATTTAACCACATCAGAGGCAGGAAGCCATTACCAACCCAAAACCGAGCAATTACATAACCCAAACATGAGGAGGAAGAAGATGCAAAGGCTCACAAAAATTCGTATAAAACAAGAGAAGTAACAGAGGCAACGAGGATGGAGTATGTTGCAGATCGACGGAAAAGAAGAGAGAAGAAGAACCCCACGGCTTGGCCCCACCGCAACCACACCAGATTCAATCGATTTTTTGAAGAAACAGAGGAGTGCAAAGGAAGAGACAGACCACGTACGCTCGTTGCCGCTGCTCACCGGCGCTCGCCGACGCTGCTCGTCGGTGCTAGCTGCCACTGCTCGCCACCTCTCGCAGTTGAAGGCCAACTACGGGCAGAAGATGCGAACCTCATTAGCGTGAACGGAGGTTATAAGTTGCCGCAAGGTAAAATGAATTAGAGGGTAAAACCAGAAAAATGGTTCTATTTAGGGAATGTAGTTATACCTACTCCTATTTTGGATTTTCAGCAATAATTTAGTCTTATTTGGGGGCAATTATGCCAAAAACAAAGTAAGACATGTAAAATATGACGGAATGAACAATAAAATTATTTTAAGAATAACATTGTTAAATTTGTCTGGTGCGTAGGTTTTTATTTCATTATTTTCTTTTGAATTTTCTTCATTGATATATGTTGTCATAAAAATCACAAGCGCGGGCCGTTCAAGTTATAAAATCAATAGCTCAAGATCAGGATTTTTTAAAATGCACACGAAATATGCAGTACAAATTGGGAGATTCACATATATATATATGCTGATTTAAATGTTACTCCTTTCGTTCCTAAATAAACTTCCAACTTTCCTTTTTCGTCTGTTCCAATTAAAACTTCCACTTTCCCTTTTTGGTAAAGAATTTGTGGTTCACAACATATCTTACACATTTCTCTCTCCTCTGCACAACTCTCCACCACACAATATCCACTATCTTAAACTTTGTGCCAAACCCATTTGGAAGTTAAAATGGGAACGGAGGTAGTACTACATATAATGTTGAAAATTGAATACTCAATACTTTAGAAATTGTAACTCATATATGATGCATCAAATACTTGTTCATCTTGATGTCACATTAGTTTCTACGATGTTTAATTTTTTTAAATAGAAATTGCTCTTAATAGGAGCAAAAACGTTCTTTATTCCCTAAATAATAGTAATATGCCAAGTTTGGAAAAAATGTCATGTTTTAAAGCTTAGTAACGTAAAACTTGGCAGAAATTTACTTCTATTCAAGGAATAAAAAACATTATAGTGCTATTTTGGAATATCAAAAATTTGTTACTCCTATTTAGAGGATTCTCCCTTTTTCAAATGATCGATGTAGAAGTAAAACTGACATTATCTTAATGAATTAATTAATGGTTATAATAAGGCCATCATTTCATTAATTAATAAATATACTCTGTTCGTTGTGATATATAGAAACGTTAAGTTTCCTTATACAGCACAAATGTGTGACATTAATTTGAGAAAATTGAGCCAATCATGTCAAATTTCTTTTCCTATATTTTCAAACTCCATAATGCGTACCGTATATGGTATATGTGCTCTGCGCCTGTCTAGCCCGAAAGCTTTCTTTTTCCCGCGTACGTAGCTTTGCTGCCGTCGTCCAGACGTCCACGATCGCCGGCAACCTGTCACCGGAGTAAGCAAGCCTTTATTATACTCTACAATCATCAACAAGCATTTTACGCATTCGATATCCAGCGTGTCACGACCGTGTGCTTGTGTATGTACAATTCATGTGTTTCTTCACATCAAAATACTCCGTAATACATTTAAAATACCCTTATCAGATTATATGCATTTGAGCATTTCTCTTTGAATTATGAAGCTGTCTCGAAAATCGCCAGCGTAATCGTTCACTACTATCACATCGAGTCATAAAAATGAGATTTTTAGGGTCCCTGTTTTTGTTCTAAATGTGATTCTTCCGCATTCTGTAATATACTGTATGTAATGTCGGTTTTTTGTTAATGTGTGATATATACGTAGTATATATCTATAATCTATTTATCTACAGGTTAGAAATGAATTTACTAAAGATAGTTCAGTGGTAAACTGCTTTTGTAGTTTTCCCCCTTTTGGAATGCAGGCTTCAACTCCTGAGTGGTCGCTGTTTTGCTGAACAATGTTTGGGGAAAATAAATTATGATTCCGAAATTGACCCAAATTTATATGGTACTCATGTATGACATCTGAAAGTAGTTTGCTGTTGAAATAAGGAAATGAAGATCCAGAGTAAATGACCTCACGCGTGGGTTCATGCAATAAATTGATGTGTTTCTTCAATTTTATACTCCAGTCTAAGTAACATGCATGTAAACTTGTGGCTTGTGCCATTGTGGCCTTTTTTTACTTTCACACTTCTCTTAGTTCTCTACCTCTGGAATTTGACCAAAATCTTTCTGTTCTATTATAACAGGTTAGATATAAGTGCTTCCTTTGTCTTTCACTCCAGAGCAAGTACTAGTCTATGGTGATGAGCCAATTTCTTGCTATTCTCTTCTGTTTCTCTTTGCATATTATCATTGCAGTCTCTGATTCTGGACATGAGTGGAGCAAGATAGGTACCGATATTGCATATCGCCTCCTCCTCCTCCTCCTCCTCCTTCTTCTTCTTCTTCTTCTTCCTCCTCCTCCTCCTCCTCCTCCTCCTCTTCTTCTTCTTCTTCTTCTGGTAGATTTACACTCCATTGCAACTCTTCTTTTGCAGGTTCGCATGAAGCCAGTGGAGATAGAAACATCACCACAAATATGAAGCAGCAGAATCCAAATTTCAGCAACAGAAAAATCCTTCCACGTGGTAAAGTTGTAGACTTGTAGTTTACATGCAAGTATATAACTTGGAGCGGGTTTTGTAAGAATTACTTGAACTGAATTTGTTAACATTTTCAAAAGAATAAGTGTTTGATAGCCAAATAAGTCAAAAGTTATGTATTCTCAGGAGCAGATCAAATGTTTACCATTTGTCCCTACTTAAAATTTTTGCTTTTATGATTAGGGTCCTCAATTCCATGTTTGACCATTATTATTTAATTTACAAATACGTTAGTATTTACTCCTATAATTTACACAGTACTCCTATAATGCAATGTTATTTGAAATTTCATACCAAGGTCTCATTCGGCTCAACTTTCTGTTTTTGCCTTTTGGGTTTATGTTTTCTGAAAACTAATACGAAGTACTAACCTCAGACATCCATAAAAAGTTCATTCTCAGGATTTTGTCGTCACTTATCAAAATTAACATGATCACTAAACAAATGATTATTTTTTCTTCTTATACTACCTCCTTCCCAGTTAGCCATCTTTGACTTTATAGTCAAAGATATAAACTTTAACCAATTATTTTAACTAATATATTTATGCAAAATTTAATAATTTATAGTTTTGTGATACCACGTAGTATTTTTTACAAAGAAAATTTTCATATAATTTTCATAATACCAATACTTTTATATATAAATATATAACCGGTCAAAGTTAGACTTCATTGACTTAAAAGTCATGTTTGGCAAACTAAAATGGAAATGAGAGAACACTACTAAAAAATTGGTGACAAGTCCGGTACTCCAGTACCGTACCTATCAATCACTTGATTGGTCCAAATCATTATATCATTTTTTTTATTTAGATTTAAATAATTCAACTGCACCATTCTGATTGGTCCATGTTGACAAATGTATGTTACCTTAAGGGTACCATAGAATCTACCCTAAAAAATTACCTTTATGCGGACCTAAAAACATTTACAAATGTACTTGCATACCAAGGGTCAAACTTTGGACCAAGTGACCAAGGTTCGAAACACGCAGCGGCCGTGTGGATGTTACAGAACCTGAAATGAGGTTGGACCTCTGATGCGCACGTGTATAAGGTCTACCGCCGCTTTGCTGACTGAGTCACCATGATTAACCTCCCCACCGTCCTGTCGGGTCGAAGTGAGGGCTCTTGGGGTGGGAGATTCCACCTTTTGGACCAAATTGATATCAAAAGTAGAAACCCAAGAACTTTAAAAGTTTAACATATATTCAATCTAAATTGTTGTACTACGTATTGAAATTCACCGGCCTTGTTCTTCAATATAGGGGAGTGTGCAGCAAAGGATTTGAGCATTTCACAAAGCACATATTCAACAACAGGGATCCCACAATATGTAGTGGAGATACTCAACACATGCACGTCATCAGCTGGTTGTGCCCCATCCAACATCCACCTCAACTGTGGCTGGTTTGCCTCTGCTAGATTAGTGAACCCAAACGCATTTAAGAGGCTGTCTTACGATGATTGCTTGGTGAATGGAGGAAAGGCTATGAAGGCCAACCAGTTGATCCGCTTCACCTACTCAAACACATTCAAGTACCCTCTCTCCCTCAAGTCTGCCAAATTCTGCTGATGATTTGCTTCAGTTTTGGTAGCTTTTTCTGTTGTTGGGGAGTAATAAACATGTACGCGTATACAACTTTACTTTGTTATATTTAGGTATTTAGGTATAAACATGTACGCAGTTCACAAATACAACGAGAAGTGTGGTCATCTTTTCCCGCTTATACAAACATATCAGCCAACTTTTTCATCAAACAGATAATTTTTTATTTCACTCGCTAAATTAAGTAATAATAAGAAAATGTAAGATTGGAGTTACTTTTCTTGCTGTATTGGCTGAAGCTAGTGTAGATTATCATTTTAGCTAGCTATTTTTTCATATACCTTTTTCTTTATTTTATTAAAAAAAAGGATGACACCCCATCCCTCGAACCCCCAAACCCCGACCGGACGATACGTTGGGAGGATGTAAATTGGACTATAATCCCAATCTGACAGATAGAGAGTGAGGCTCTGTCCTCAGTACTTGCAGAGGCCCTATGCATTTTTAGCATAGTAACCCCGCATCGCAATTGCCAGATTCGAACCCGGGACCTAACCCTTGTGCCATCCCCTTGTTACCAGTTGAGCTACGCCCACCGGTTTATTTTTATTTTTATTTTTTTATTATTAAAAAGTATTTTAAATATAATTTTTTTATAAATCAACAGAATCCGCCAATGCAGTCACTTCAGCCAGAACTTCATAAATAATTCAGCCAATTTCCACCGATCTAAATCAAATGTTATAAGAAGTGGGCTAAATTATTTGCACCATATCCACAAGGAGTTGCTTGGAATGGCAGAGACCAACTGGATGTGAAGGCTGGGGCGACAAATTAAACTCTGGACATGAAATGCCAAAACAATATATCTCCGCTAGCTAGTACTCATTTTTATTTTATGGATAAAAGCATATAAAGCATTTGTTTGGTTTGCAGCATACAATTCTTGTCTAAATAAAGAACATTTTTAATTTTGTGTCGGTTCAGAATAGTACTTCATACTACCTCCGTCCCTTAAAACTTTGCCAAAATTGACCGGCACGGAGAATAATAAAGTAAAAACTGTGTGGTTGAGGTTTGTGCAGAGGAGAGAGAAATCACAGAAACCACAAATAATTGATTAAAATGGAAAGTGGAAAAGTTTTTTGAGACGTCCCAAAAAGAAAAGATGACAAAGTTTTAAGGGACGGAGGGAGTACGACTCTATGCATATATTCGAGTGACAGTACGTATAGCCTCCTCATAGTTATAGTTTCTCTGCATTAAATGAATGGAACGTTCAAATAAGCGGCGGACACGGCTTTCACCATTTGGGCTTTACTTTACAGTGTATGAGTAAGCTTCGGTGCATGAAAGAGCAGTTATGGAAAAGGGACTAATATGGGGTCTCATTTTTAAAAAATTACTCCATCCGTCCAAATTTGAGTTGCAAAGTCAACATTTTTTCATTAATGCTCTTTATTGATAATTAATTCAATTTTTAATAATTAAAATTTACATCTTCAGAAACTATATTAAAATCTCTTTAAATTTGCAAACTTCAAATTAGAATATACGCCTGTTTGACCAAAAAATCAAATTTGCAAATCAATTTGGGATGGATGTAGTATTAGTATTGTATAGTAATGTTATACGGAGTATATAAATATCATTCAGTAAAATACAGTTAATAAGGAAAAAAATACAATAATATCATTTTTGTGTTGGTCATTTTACTTCTCTTTTAGTGAGATAAGAGAAAGTTTCTTTGAATGGAAAACACTTACTCCCTCCTTCCCTTAAAACTTTGTCAAGTTTGATCGGCATGAAAATTAATAAAGTAAAAATTGTATGAATGATGTTTGTGTAGAGCACAGAAAATTAACTGGAACAACAATTTTTTTAGTTAAAAGGAAAAGTGACAAAATTAATGAAACAGCCAAAAAAAGAAAATTGACAAAAGCCAATTCAGATAGCCTAAAACTACAATGAGATGAAAGTCATGAAACATATAAATGACGAGAAATAACAACCATATAGGCATATATATTGCTAGAAAGAAACCACACTGTTGAGGGTAAGTCCCGTAGATCCGAAAGCCCAACACGAACTTTGGATATATCAGGAATGGCCCAGAATCAAAGCGTAAAAGAAAATATAAGATCTGAACTAACTAAAACTCGAAAGCTCACTTGTATTAATTAACCAATTTGATTACAAGGGATTTCCCGATCGATAAGTCGGAAATTATGCCTCAATACAAGAAATAAGAGCAAATGATGCTATTCTAGAGCTTGAGTATTGAAATGCTAACCCTTACAATGACTTGAAACCTTCTATTTATACTAATGGAGAGCATGGGCTGCCTCTTGCTGATTGGCCGTTGTTCCACCGACTTGGTCATCCATGCTTCCACTTGCTGATGTCATAGTCTGGCATTAACTGCACCTGGCCACTTGCTGGTTGGCCGTTGCTCGAACGGGATGTTGGTCCATACTGAAGATGCTGTCAAATTGGCCCAAGTATGATATATAGCCCGTTCCTCGTTCGGTATGTCTTCTTATTGGGCCAACCTTTATTTGGGCCGAACCCCGTTCGGTACGTCTCTTTATTGGATCTTTTCATCATAGAGTGATGGGCCTGTTACTTGGGCCGGACACCTTGGGCCTTCCCGAACTGGGTATTGGGCCTCTAGGCCAATATCCCAACATAAGTCCCCCACTTCCGATGTCTCGAACGAAGTGAGTGCATCAGGAAGTATACCAATGTCATAATACCCCGAATGGCGATCGGGGTACAGAAGTAACTAGTTCCCCATGCTGCGATTTGACGGCTGCCGCTTCATTTCCCCATATTCATCATGATAACCGTCGTTTAGTCTTTTCATTAGACGCGTGTCTAGCTTAAATGCCCCTAGTGATGTGTTGCTCTCTGATTGGTTCTTGACACGGCGGTTTCAAGGCTTATAAATTAGCCCTTAACTCCTCAATTCCGGGTTTCGACTCTGCAATTCATTGGCCTTCGTTGTTTCCTCTGCAAATTTCCCCCTGCTTCCCTTGCTCAGGTAATTTCCCAACCTTGGATTCCCCATCTTCATTTCTGGCTTCGATCGAGATGAGCCCCACAGAGCATTCTTCTGATTCGGAGATGGCCTCTCATGGAGATGACCGTGACACCGCCATTGTAGATGCCATCCCAGTTCCGTTTGCCGGTGTTTCTATTGAGACGGCGACGAATACCAGGGCTGAGGCGGAGGACCTCCCTAACACTTCTTCTTCCTCCAGTGAGGATTCTGATGACACCAAATTCGAGGACGAAATAGCCTCCATGGCGGCCGGACGTCCCAACGATGTTCCTCGCCATACTCTTGACCTAAAATTGATTAGGGAGAGGAGGCAAAAATTGACTTCTCACAATAGGGCCGAAATTCCGGCCCTTATCCCTGATCCGGTGGATTTCCGTTTGCAAGCCGGGCTTCACCCAATGCGTCATAGGCCCGGAATGACCATAGTCCACTTTGACTCGATTAGGGCCGGCCTTAGATTTCCGCTACACCCCTTTTTCATTTCTTTCTTCAATTTCTACGAAATTGTACCGGCCCAGATTATGCCGAACTCCTATCGGGCAATGGCGGGGTTCATTTGTCGTTGCAAAGATGCCGGTGCCCGACCAACCCTAGATCTCTTCCATCAATTCTTCAAAGTAGCCCCCCAACAAACCCACGGTTATCTGGCCACCAGTGCCCGAACGGGACACATCCTGTTCAAAGGAAATCCAACTTCAATTAAAGGGTGGAAAGACCGTTTTTTCTTCGTGTCTGTCCCGGACGGCCTAATTCCCCGCAAATGGAATGCCTTTCCTCGCAAGACTCCCGATCCTGTCCTTACTGAAGAAATTTACAAGGACGTACTTGCCGTGGAGAAGGATAAATGCATGGACATCATGAGTTATCTGACTCCTGAACGACTTATTACAGCCGGGATAGGTACTGCCCGTTCTCTTGGGTTTACTTGTTTTGAGAAACCAAGTGCCATGGTCCGGGCGGTCCTTCCCGTGCGAGAAACGTTCTTTTGTTCTTTTTTCTAGTTTCTCACACGCTAAGGTCGCTCGATACTAACATTGTTCTTTTGTCTTTTTTCAGCACAAAACCCAGATCTACCTATGGACAACAGCAGAGTTATGGCATCTGGTGGGGTCGGTAAGCGGAAAAAGGCCAGGAAGAACCCCAACCTACTCCCTCTACTGTTCCTGCCCAGGATGCTGGGTCTTCTCAACCGCTTCCAGAGCCACAACCGATACAACAGGTCCATCAGGATCAAATCGATGCCATGCTGGTCGATGATCGGTTTGGCTCTGATCAACTGCAGCAATTTTCCGAGCATTTTCAAGCTGCTCCAGAAGCCGGCCAGGGTACGGGTAAAACTCCCACCGTTCAGTTATCTGGCCAGGTTGACCGGATTTCCCTGGCGGATCCGGTTCATGATGTTGTGGAAAGGGGTGGCTGTTCGGCAAGTCAGATCTGGTCTACCTCCGCCTTCTTCAACAATTTCACCATCCCTAAGTTATCGATCGAGCAGTCCGAGGAATGCCTTGCCTTGGCAGCTCTGAAGGTATCTTGCCATTCCATAGTTTAAACCTTTCTTAATCTACAATTTCTCTTCCCCATTTCATTCCCTGAATGTCATTCCGCAGGTTGGGCTTTATAGCCTGCAGCTGAAGGAAGCTCGGTTGGCCAAGGAGCGGGAGCTGATCGTTGCTCAGAGTTCCGCGGAGCAGAATGCAGCAACTGCTTTTGCTGCCCTAGAGGCCGAGCGGAAGGCCCATACTGAGGAGAAGAAACGTCTTGAATCGGAGCTTGGCGAGCTTCGGGTTCAACTCGGAGTTTCTCAGTCCAAGGTCCATGCTGCAGAAGCTGCCTTGGTTAAATTCGAAGAGCATGACCCTCGCATCCCGGACGGCCCTGCTGAAATACAGGTTGACCTGTCCGCCGTTCGGGAGTCATTTAAAGGGTCTGATGAGTTTGCTATTTTGAAGAAAGATTTCGCACAGCAGCAACTCCCAGTCACCTTTGGTGATTATCTTGACCATTTTTCCACGGGTGACGCCCGTCGGAGCGAGGGGGTCAAATTGCTCGATCAGGACCCCAGGGGGAAAAAATTTAATGATTCCCTGGCTCGATCTCTGTACGTCATGGGCTGTCAGCACATCATGGCTCCCTTTATCGCCAAATTCCAAGAATTGCTAGGGAGGCCGGTCGAGCTTACTGATCT